ATCATGTACCTCCCTACTGTTAGGACATAGAGAATATGATGTGTACCATCTCTATACTGGCACACACAGCACATCATGTATACCTCATGGCACATACATCATGTACCTCCTGGAATATACAATATATCATGTATACCTCATGGCACATACATCATGTACCTCCTGGAATATACAATGTATCATGTATACCACATGGCACATACATCATGTACCTCCTGGAATATACAATATATCATGTATACCTCATGGCACATACATCATGTACCTCCTGGAATATACAATATATCATGTATACCACATGGCACATACATCATGTACCTCCTGGAAGATACAATGTATCATGTATACCACATGGCACATACATCATGTACCTCCTGGAATATACAATATATCATGTATACCTCATGGCACATACATCATGTACCTCCTGGAATATACAATGTATCATGTATACCACATGGCACATACATCATGTACCTCCTGGAATATACAATATATCATGTATACCTCATGGCACATACATCATGTACCTCCTGGAATATACAATGTATCATGTATACCACATGGCACATACATCATGTACCTCCTGGAATATACAATATATCATGTATACCTCATGGCACATACATCATGTACCTCCTGGAATATACAATATATCATGTATACCACATGGCACATACATCATGTACCTCCTGGAAGATACAATGTATCATGTATACCACATGGCACATACATCATGTCCTCCCTACTGTTAGGACATAGAGAATATGATGTGTACCATCTCTATACTGGCACACACAGCACATCATGTATACCTCATGGCACATACATCATGTACCTCCTGGAATATACAATGTATCATGTATACCTCATGGCACATACATCATGTACCTCCTGGAATATAGAATATATCATGTATACCACATGGCACATATATCATGTATACCACATGGCACATACATCATGTATACCACATGGCACATACATCATGTATACCACATGGCACATATATCATGTATACCACATGGCACATATATCATGTATACCACATGGCACATACATCATGTATACCACATGGCACATATATCATGTATACCTCATGGCACATACATCATGTACCTCCTGGAATATACAATATATCATGTACCTCCTGGAGTGTACAATATATCATGTATACCACATGGCACATACATCATGTACCTCCCTACTGTTAGGACATAGAGAATATGATGTGTACCATCTCTATACTGGCACACACAGCACATCATGTATATTACATGGCACATACATCATGTACCTCCTGGAATATACAATGTATCATGTATACCTCATGGCACATACATCATGTACCTCCTGGAATATACAATATATCATGTACCTCCTGGAGTGTACAATATATCATGTATACCACATGGCACATACATCATGTACCTCCCTACTGTTAGGACATAGAGAATATGATGTGTACCATCTCTATACTGGCACACACAGCACATCATGTATACCACATGGCACATACATCATGTACCTCCTGGAATATACAATGTATCATGTATACCTCATGGCACATACATCATGTACCTCCTGGAATATACAATATATCATGTATACCTCATGGCACATACATCATGTACCTCCTGGAAGATACAATGTATCATGTATACCACATGGCACATACATCATGTACCTCCCTACTGTTAGGACATAGAGAATATGATGTGTACCATCTCTATACCGGCACACACAGCACATCATGTACCACATGACACATACATCATGTACCTCATGGCACATACATCATGTACCTCCCTACTGTTAGGACATAGAGAATATGATGTGTACCATCTCTATACTGGCACACACAGCACATCATGTATACCACATGGCACATACATCATGTACCTCCTGGAATATACAATGTATCATGTATACCACATGGCACATACATCATGTACCTCCTGGAATATATAATGTATCATGTATACCTCATGGCACATATATCATGTACCTCCTGGAATATACAATGTATCATGTATACCTCATGGCACATATATCATGTACCTCCTGGAATATACAATATATCATGTATACCACATGGCACATATATCATGTATACCACATGGCACATACATCATGTATACCACATGACACATACATCATGTACCTCCTGGAATATACAATATATCATGTATACCACATGGCACATACATCATGTCCTCCCTACTGTTAGGACATAGAGAATATGATGTGTACCATCTCTATACTGGCACACACAGCACATCATGTATACCACATGGCACATACATCATGTACCTCCTGGAATATACAATTTATCATGTATACCACATGACACATACATCATGTACCTCCTGGAATATACAATATATCATGTATACCACATGGCACATACATCATGTACCTCCTGGAATATACAATGTATCATGTATACCACATGACACATACATCATGTACCTCCTGGAATATACAATATATCATATATACCACATGGCACATACATCATGTACCTCCCTACTGTTAGGACATAGAGAATATGATGTGTACCATCTCGATACCGGCACACACAGCACATCATGTATACCACATGGCACATACATCATGTACCTCCTGGAGTATACAATATATCATGTATACCACATGGCACATACATCATGTACCTCCTGGAGTATACAATATATCATGTATACCACATGGCACATATATCATGTATACCATATGGCACATACATCATGTACCTCCTGGAATATACAATATATCATGTATACCACATGGCACATACATCATGTACCTCCCTACTGTTAGGACATAGAGAATATGATGTGTACCATCTCTATACTGGCACACACAGCACATCATGTATACCACATGGCACATACATCATGTACCTCCTGGAATATACAATGTATCATGTATACCTCATGGCACATACATCATGTACCTCCTGGAATATACAATATATCATGTATACCACATGGCACATACATCATGTACCTCCTGGAATATACAATATATCATGTATACCACATGGCACATACATCATGTACCTCCTGGAATATACAATATATCATGTATACCACATGGCACATACATCATGTACTCCCTACTGTTAGGACATAGAGAATATGATGTGTACCATCTCTATACTGGCACACACAGCACATCATGTATACCTCATGGCACATACATCATGTACCTCCTGGAATATACAATGTATCATGTATACCACATGGCACATACATCATGTACCTCCTGGACTATACAATATATCATGTATACCACATGGCACATACATCATGTACCTCCTGGAGTATACAATATATCATGTATACCACATGGCACATATATCATGTATACCACATGGCACATACATCATGTACCTCCTGGAATATGCAATATATCATGTATACCACATGGCACATACATCATGTACCTCCTGGAATATACAATATATCATGTATACCACATGGCACATACATCATGTACCTCCCTACTGTTAGGACATAGAGAATATGATGTGTACCATCTCTATACTGGCACACACAGCACATCATGTATACCACATGGCACATACATCATGTACCTCCTGGAATATACAATGTATCATGTATACCTCATGGCACATATATCATGTACCTCCTGGAATATGCAATATATCATGTATACCACATGGCACATACATCATGTACCTCCTGGAATATACAATATATCATGTATACCTCATGGCACATATATCATGTACCTCCTGGAATATACAATATATCATGTATACCACATGGCACATACATCATGTACCTCCTGGAATATAAAATGTATCATGTATACCACATGGCACATACATCATGTACCTCCTGGAATATACAATATATCATGTATACCTCATGGCACATACATCATGTACCTCCTGGAGTATACAATATATCATGTATACCACATGGCACATACATCATGTACTCCCTACTGTTAGGACATAGAGAATATGATGTGTACCATCTCTATTCCGGCACACACAGCACATCATGTATACCTCATGGCACATACATCATGTACCTCCTGGAGTATACAATATATCATGTATACCACATGGCACATATATCATGTACCTCCTGGAATATACATCATGTATACCACATGGCACATACATCATGTACCTCCCTACTGTTAGGACATAGAGAATATGATGTGTACCATCTCTATACTGGCACACACAGCACATCATGTATACCACATGGCACATACATCATGTACCTCCCTACTGTTAGGACATAGAGAATATGATGTGTACCATCTCTATACTGGCACACACAGCACATCATGTATACCACATGGCACATACATCATGTACCTCCTGGAATATACAATGTATCATGTATACCACATGACACATACATCATGTACCTCCTGGAATATACAATATATCATGTATACCACATGGCACATACATCATGTACCTCCCTACTGTTAGGACATAGAGACTATGTTGTGTACCATCTCTTTACTGGCACACACAGCACATCATGTATACTGTTTATCTCATTACATCTTCCCTTCTGGACTATATTTTGGCTGGACTAACAAGTCTATGCATAGTCCAGTCGATATCGCATAATGAACAAACGTCTGGTTCATAAACTGCCATGCAGATTTCAATCGATTGCAGATTTTGCAAGACATATTATAGATTTTGATTATTGATAAGATGGTCTTGACTGGATGCAACCATTTTGTTTGAAGCAAATGCAAGTGATATGAGAGGTAAAATCTGATTGGTCACTAGGAGGGACATAGAAGGGACATAACTTGTAATAGCTAGCAGCGGCACTCCGATTGAGCCCAGAAATTCCAGGCTAGTTTGGCACGGGTAGAAACTGGACTTTTTCAGTCAGTTAACTCCCTTGGCTCAGGAAGATGTCTCCCTACTAAATACAACACACATCTCCCATACAGGATGAATCATGTTTACCAGTAGTCATTAAGTAACTTACAATCCAAACAACATTCCTCCCAGATGTGCAGCATGGTCAAACATCCGCCATCCCAACACAAGGCCAACAACGTCCAGGACGATGATCCCGGTTAGGGCCTGAAGCAGCAACACAAACAACAGTATTCAACAGCATTATACTCCTTTGTGTAGGTCCTTCTTTATCTGTTACAGACAGCGGGATGTTGATGCTGTGTGATGTACATGTACTTACATTACTGGCCGAGAATGAGTGCGGGACAATCTCCCCGAGGAAGGCGATGCTGAGCCTGGCGTCCGGGTAGGACAGACACACGGCTCCCAGCACGGCCATCAGCGCACCAGACTGAAACATTGACACGTCACATCAGTGAGCTTATCTTGATTCTGACGTTAAATCCCATTTTATCATAGTGACAACCTTGTACAACACACACTACCCCGAGAGATGGAACTGGTCGACCCTTGACAACACACACTACCCAGAGAGATGGAACTGGTCGACCCCTGACAACACACACCAACCCGAGAGATGGAACTGGTCTACCCTTGGCAACACACACCACCCCGAGAGATGGAACTGGTCGATCCCTGACAACACTCACTACCCCGAGAGATGGAACTGGTCGACCCCTGACAACACACACTACCCCGAGAGATGGAACTGGTCGACCCTTGACAACACACACTAACCCGAGAGATGGAACTGGTCGACCCCTGACAACACACACCAACCCGAGAGATGGAACGGGTCTCCCCCTGACAACACACACCACCCCCAGAGATGGAACTGGTCGACCCTTGACAACACTCACTACCCAGAGATGGAACTGGTCGACCCTTGACAACACACACTACCCCCAGAGATGGAACTGGTCAACCCTTGACAACACACACTAACCCGAGAGATGGAACTGGTCTCCCCTGACAACACTCACCGCCCCCAGAGATGGAACTGGTCGACCCTTGACAACACACACTACCCCGAGAGATGGAACTGGTCGACCCTTGACAACACACACTACCCCCAGAGATGGAACTGGTCGACCCTTGACAACACACACTACCCCGAGAGATGGAACTGGTCGACTCTTGACAACACACACTACCCCTAGAGATGGAACTGGTCGACTCTTGACAACACACACCAACCCGAGAGATGGAACTGGTCTCCCCTGACAACACTCAATGCCCCTAGAGATGGAACTGGTCTCCCCTGACAACACTCACCGCCCCCAGAGATGGAACTGGTTGACCCTTGACAACACACACTACCCCTAGAGATGGAACTGGTCGACTCTTGACAACACACTCTAACCCGAGAGATGGAACTGGTCGACTCTTGACAACACACACCAACCTGAGAGATGGAACTGGTCGACTCTTGACAACACACTCTCACCCGAGAGATGGAACTGGTCGACCCTTGACAACACACACTACCCCTAGAGATGGAACTGGTCGACCCTTGACAACACACACTACCCCTAGAGATGGAACTGGTCGACTCTTGACAACACACACTACCCCGAGAGATGGAACTGGTCGACTCTTGACAACACACACCAACCCGAGAGATGGAACTGGTCTCCCCTGACAACACTCAATGCCCCTAGAGATGGAACTGGTCTCCCCTGACAACACTCACCGCCCCCAGAGATGGAACTGGTTGACCCTTGACAACACACACTACCCCGAGAGATGGAACGGGTCTCCCCCTGACAACACACACCGCCCCTAGAGATGGAACTGGTCTCCCCTGTCAACACTCACTGCCCCTAGAGATGGAACTGGTCTCCCCTGTTAACACTCACTGCCCCTAGAGATGGAACTGGTCTCCCCTGTCAACACTCACTGCCCCCAGAGATGGAACTGGTCGACCCTTGACAACACTCACCGCCACTAGAGATGGAACTGGTCTCCCCTGACAACACTCACCGCCCCTAGAGATGGAACTGGTCTACCCTGTCAACACTCACCGCCCCTAGAGATGGAACTGGTCTCCCCTGTCAACACTCACTGCCCCTAGAGATGGAACTGGTCGACCCTTGACAACACTCACTGCCACTAGAGATGGAACTGGTCTCCCCTGACAACACTCACCGCCCCTAGAGATGGAACTGGTCTCCCCTGTCAACACTCACCGCCCCTAGAGATGGAACTGGTCTCCCCTGTCAACACTCACCGCCCCTAGAGATGGAACTGGTCTCCCCTGTCAACACTCACTGCCCCTAGAGATGGAACTGGTCTCCCCTGTCAACACTCACCGCCCCTAGAGATGGAACTGGTCTCCCCTGTCAACACTCACTGCCCCTAGAGATGGAACTGGTCTCCCCTGTCAACACTCACTGCCCCTAGAGATGGAACTGGTCTCCCCCTGTCAACACTCACTGCCCCTAGAGATGGAACTGGTCTCCCCCTGTCAACACTCACTGCCCCTAGAGATGGAACTGGTCTCCCCCTGTCAACACTCACTGCCCCTAGAGATGGAACTGGTCTCCCCTGTCAACACTCACTGCCCCTAGAGATGGAACTGGTCTCCCCTGTCAACACTCACTGCCCCTAGAGATGGAACTGGTCTCCCCTGTCAACACTCACTGCCCCTAGAGATGGAACTGGTCTCCCCTGTCAACACTCACTGCCCCTAGAGATGGAACTGGTCTCCCCCTGTCAACACTCACTGCCCCTAGAGATGGAACTGGTCTCCCCTGTCAACACTCACTGCCCCTAGAGATGGAACTGGTCTCCCCCTGTCAACACTCACTGCCCCTAGAGATGGAACTGGTCTCCCCCTGTCAACACTCACTGCCCCTAGAGATGGAACTGGTCTCCCCCTGTCAACACTCACTGCCCCTAGAGATGGAACTGGTCTCCCCTGTCAACACTCACTGCCCCTAGAGATGGAACTGGTCTCCCCCTGTCAACACTCACTGCCCCTAGAGATGGAACTGGTCTCCCCTGTCAACACTCACTGCCCCTAGAGATGGAACTGGTCTCCCCTGTCAACACTCACCGCCCCTAGAGATGGAACTGGTCTCCCCCTGTCAACACTCACTGCCCCTAGAGATGGAACTGGTCTCCCCCTGTCAACACTCACTGCCCCTAGAGATGGAACTGGTCTCCCCCTGTCAACACTCACTGCCCCTAGAGATGGAACTGGTCTCCCCTGTCAACACTCACTGCCCCTAGAGATGGAACTGGTCTCCCCTGTCAACACTCACTGCCCCTAGAGATGGAACTGGTCTCCCCCTGTCAACACTCACTGCCCCTAGAGATGGAACTGGTCTCCCCCTGTCAACACTCACTGCCCCTAGAGATGGAACTGGTCTCCCCTGTCAACACTCACTGCCCCTAGAGATGGAACTGGTCTCCCCCTGTCAACACTCACTGCCCCTAGAGATGGAACTGGTCTCCCCCTGTCAACACTCACTGCCCCTAGAGATGGAACTGGTCTCCCCTGTCAACACTCACTGCCCCTAGAGATGGAACTGGTCGACCCTTGACAACACTCACTGCCCCTAGAGATGGAACTGGTCTCCCCTGTCAACACTCACCGCCCCTAGAGATGGAACTGGTCTCCCCTGTCAACACTCACTGCCCCTAGAGATGGAACTGGTCTCCCCTGTCAACACTCACCGCCCCTAGAGATGGAACTGGTCTCCCCTGTCAACACTCACTGCCCCTAGAGATGGAACTGGTCTCCCCTGTCAACACTCACTGCCCCTAGAGATGGAACTGGTCTCCCCCTGTCAACACTCACTGCCCCTAGAGATGGAACTGGTCTCCCCTGTCAACACTCACTGCCCCTAGAGATGGAACTGGTCTCCCCTGTCAACACTCACTGCCCCTAGAGATGGAACTGGTCTCCCCCTGTCAACACTCACTGCCCCTAGAGATGGAACTGGTCTCCCCTGTCAACACTCACTGCCCCTAGAGATGGAACTGGTCTCCCCTGTCAACACTCACTGCCCCTAGAGATGGAACTGGTCTCCCCCTGTCAACACTCACTGCCCCTAGAGATGGAACTGGTCTCCCCCTGTCAACACTCACTGCCCCTAGAGATGGAACTGGTCTCCCCCTGTCAACACTCACTGCCCCTAGAGATGGAACTGGTCTCCCCTGTCAACACTCACTGCCCCTAGAGATGGAACTGGTCTCCCCTGTCAACACTCACTGCCCCTAGAGATGGAACTGGTCTCCCCTGTCAACACTCACTGCCCCTAGAGATGGAACTGGTCTCCCCTGTCAACACTCACTGCCCCTAGAGATGGAACTGGTCTCCCCCTGTCAACACTCACTGCCCCTAGAGATGGAACTGGTCTCCCCTGTCAACACTCACTGCCCCTAGAGATGGAACTGGTCTCCCCCTGTCAACACTCACTGCCCCTAGAGATGGAACTGGTCTCCCCCTGTCAACACTCACTGCCCCTAGAGATGGAACTGGTCTCCCCCTGTCAACACTCACTGCCCCTAGAGATGGAACTGGTCTCCCCTGTCAACACTCACTGCCCCTAGAGATGGAACTGGTCTCCCCCTGTCAACACTCACTGCCCCTAGAGATGGAACTGGTCTCCCCTGTCAACACTCACTGCCCCTAGAGATGGAACTGGTCTCCCCCTGTCAACACTCACTGCCCCTAGAGATGGAACTGGTCTCCCCCTGTCAACACTCACTGCCCCTAGAGATGGAACTGGTCTCCCCCTGTCAACACTCACTGCCCCTAGAGATGGAACTGGTCTCCCCTGTCAACACTCACCGCCCCTAGAGATGGAACTGGTCTCCCCTGTCAACACTCACTGCCCCTAGAGATGGAACTGGTCTCCCCTGTCAACACTCACCGCCCCTAGAGATGGAACTGGTCTCCCCTGTCAACACTCACTGCCCCTAGAGATGGAACTGGTCTCCCCTGTCAACACTCACTGCCCCTAGAGATGGAACTGGTCTCCCCCTGTCAACACTCACTGCCCCTAGAGATGGAACTGGTCTCCCCCTGTCAACACTCACTGCCCCTAGAGATGGAACTGGTCTCCCCCTGTCAACACTCACTGCCCCTAGAGATGGAACTGGTCTCCCCTGTCAACACTCACTGCCCCTAGAGATGGAACTGGTCTCCCCTGTCAACACTCACTGCCCCTAGAGATGGAACTGGTCTCCCCTGTCAACACTCACTGCCCCTAGAGATAGAACTGGTCTCCCCTGTCAACACTCACTGCCCCTAGAGATGGAACTGGTCTCCCCCTGTCAACACTCACTGCCCCTAGAGATGGAACTGGTCTCCCCTGTCAACACTCACTGCCCCTAGAGATGGAACTGGTCTCCCCCTGTCAACACTCACTGCCCCTAGAG